CTCTTCCGAGGGCCGCATTTCTAGTTGGCATCGACACTGCTCGTGTCCATCGTGACTCTGCAGTCTTACCGCTTCGACCAGGCTGCCAGCGCTGCCGTGAAACTGCCTGCTGCTCCCTCCGGTCTGGCTGGGGACGGTGAGGGAGACCGGCCTGGCTCTCCTCGGGCTGCTGCAGCCGGTGTTCTCAGTGTACCGAGAGCCGCAGTGGACTGACGGGAAGCTGCTGTTGAGCTTCTCACTGGACTCCGCCCCGTCGAGGCGCAGAGTCGGGATGGTCTGTTGCGGCCAGCCACGGCTGCAGGGTGTAGCGGGGGGCGTAGCACAGAGCCGAGAGAACATGGTGGGGGAATGGCTTCGCTGGAGCAGGGGACTCAGGCCGGCCACTGCTAACGCCTGTGGACAGACGAGGAACAAGACGAGTGAGAGCCTGCTCTTAGCAGCAGGGCTGGAAGGAGGAGGTGCTGGAGAAACTACCTTAAGAAAGGCCCGGAGGGTCTCGAGGCTTGTGAAAACAGCTGCCGGCTGCGGGAACAGTTTGGATGTTTCCTGCAAACTCATTTTGCGGGCTTTCCTTTAAATGGTGTATCCTGTGCTCGTGCCAAGCACCAGACTGAAAACTCTCATGACTACAGTTCTTCAGCCTTGGAGCCGCTGTACTGACAGGAGGGATGCAGCCCCACTCCCCATAGCCTTGCCAGAAACACCACCTCTTCTCCAGGGGGTGAGACAGCGATTCATTTTCCCACCCCTGCCACCACCCATACCGCTAGCTTTTACTGCCAATTGCTGTGTTTTCTGTAAGTATCTACTGTGCAACCTGACCAGATACCAGATGTGAATTTTAGATGTCTGCAAGTTGGCAATAACTACAAATCTACCACTGGATTTTAAGGCATCTGCTGTTGGTGGGAGGACCAATATCTGATGATTATGCTTCAAGCCATCCCGTCCTTCCTGTAATCATATACACAACCGCTGAGTCATCCAGCCTCCTTTTATAACAAATTTCTCAAGAAGCCCCTTGTTGCACGGGGCTGATCTGGTGCCTTATTCATGGCGACTGCTGCCTTATTCATGGCGACTGCTGCCTTTTTCTATAAACAATGCCATCAGAGTCATAAGCTCATCTCATAGAGCTCACTAGTGCCTAGTATGAGCAAATAAATAAATGCATAGAAAATACAAAAGCACGTGGATTGTGTTGCAGAGAATCCCCTTGTTCGGGCTGGGGTTAGTCTCATCCAGCTTCAGCTATCTGAAGGCTATGTGTCTAGTGTAAGCTAACTACTGTGTAGAGAGACACCAGCAAGCCTCCTGCCTCTTTTGGATACCTGCCTGAAAATGCTGTCTGGAGGACAAGACTCAGACAAGACTTATACTTG